CCTAAAATAACAACTACTTCGTTGCACATTAAGCTAATTTACAAATGCTACTTACATTTCAAAAACAAAACATCAAATGAGAAACAATAAAGCATATTATGTTTTCCTATGCTGGTGAATCACACATGGTAAATCACCAAAGAGTAGAGTGATTTATGCTCAAATCCAGCCAAGACTTTAATCAATACTGGGTGTCACATCTCAGGAGGTTGGGGGAGGTACTGAGACAGAAGGAGAGTGGCTAATATTGGTCTCAGTAATTTATATGCAACTTCCGTGAAATGTAGATTAAACAAAAAATAACAGCAGATTTGGACTAATAAGACGAAGATTTACAAATTCTGTATTAAATGGGATACAAAAAATTTATGTAAGGAAGGGAACTCTGAAACAAAATAGCCTGTTTATTTTACATAATCTTTGCAGCTTCACAAAATAAAATATCCTATGCGCAAATCAAAATAAGTATCTCAGAACATTAACTAGACATCTTTGCAGTTCAGAAAGTAAACCATCCTCATAACTGTAAGCACTCTTTACAATAATGACTGTATGTATTACTGGAGACTAACTCCAAGAAAAACAACAGGTTTGAAAAATACCCAAATAATTCAAGAATTTGTATGAATGCAGTATAATTTGATAGACCAAAGTAAATCTTAGGTTAGAATAGCCTTAGATATTATTTATGTATTAGTTATTAAACTGTAATAGACAAACCTTTTAAAAGTATTCAGAAATAAGTGGTGGAACCAAACTTAAACTTTCATATTTTTAGGACTTACTCTTCTAATTATGTCATAATCTTTAGGAAATGTTATAAAATGAAACATTTGACTTTATAGGAGCCATTAATCGGCTGTAATACAAAAACTTCAAAAGCATAGTCTCTCTTCATTTGAAGTAATTTTTAATTTATCTGTGCCAAGCATTGTAATTATCTGTTAGAAGTCAATCTGTATGTGTGTTGAAACTTTCTATTACCAATGCAGAAATGCAGAAGTCCGTGCCATTGAAAAACATGTAACGGGGGAAATGTTCAGTAACTATAGATTGGTTCAGTTTGCCATCTTTATTAAAAGTCCTGACAAAAAACAGAACCAAGAATTGGAAAATATTTTATACTTCTTGTATTAAAATTGCATCCATATATTACTCCTAGAAAAAAGAAAAAAATACTTGAAAAGTCTTTCAATTTGCTGTCTATGGATGGTATTGACTTTTAAGACAAAAGAATACTGATTGCGAATATATCTATATGCATATAAAATGTCTGATGAAATTAACTGGAATCTATTTAAGTTAAAAACTCCACAAATCCAGGGCTACATAAGACCCAAATCTGGTCTGAAAGATCCTGAGACAAAATCACCTTCTGGCAATATTCAAAAAATAAACATTTTAGATAACAAAATACAGCAGAGTCACTTTTTATTGCCTGAATTCACAGAAAATTGAATCCTAACCCCAAATCTACAAACAAGCTACTGACTCACACAAACACAGACTTGACCATGTACATAATTACTTTTCTTTTGTTGTTGTTGTTTACTGGTTACCAGTTAATTAAGTGACCTCTGTTGCACCAGGCAAGTTCATGCAACTAATGTTTAGTTTAAAAATAATAATTGAAGGAAACTGATCAAGATCAGACTTTGTCCTTTGACAACTTTTATAAACATATTTCCTGACATTTTCTCTCATTTTTCAGACTCTTACTTTTAGCTTTACTATCAAGCAGGTGATAGTCTCTGTTTCATCTCCTTGTGGTAGTGACAGATGGCTTCAACATTTTTTCTAGTTTTTATAGATAGCATACTGATGCAATAGCCTCAAGCAAATTAAATCCACTCTAAGGTTTGTCACCAACTTACTGAGCCACTTTGAGCAAGTTATGAACCTTTTTTTCCCTTAATGTCATTTTGGTTTCTCAGATTCTCTGGTATCTAAATGCTGTTAAGAGACAGAATTAGATATATGTTCTGTGAAAAGATGAGAGTGCTAATATTTGATGTTTCTTGCACACTATGTATATAGCATTTTATATAGTTTGCCTTTCTGCTCAGTTGTCTTATCTTCTGCATAAATTATTCCTTCAGATAGTCTCTTTAATAGGCAGAGGAGAAAGAAACCAGAATGAAAGGAATCAATATACCTAGGTGAATGAAAAAGGATCTTAACAGCAAAGGCGTAAACTGGACTTGAATGGAAAAAGGTATTTTAGTTTTGTAAATTCAAGATAAAATATATTGTAGGTATTGCTTTCAAAGTTAAGAAATAAGACAGTAACACTTGTAATTATCATTAAAATAATAATATACTACAATGTACACAGTATGTTTTGGTGAGATAGAGTTCAATGATAAGTTTTCTATTTTTTAGTCAGTGGCAGAGTTAGGAAAACCTAGGTAGAGATCTCCAATTACGCATCTTCTAAGGTTAATGACTGCAGTATTTGCATGTGTATAGGTTTGAGTAAGCCTTGTAGTTGATAAAAGATCAAAATGCAAGATGAAATCAACAAACTTACGTTTAACCTAAAAATAACCTGAAACTGAGTTTTAGAATAACACAATAAATTGTAAAGTATTACGACCAGGTGATGGAAATATAATTAGAGTAGTGATTAAATATTTTTGAAGGGATAAAACAGTTTCATTGGACTTATCTTTCTGTGAAAGTTTAAACTCCAGAGCTATTGCTAACTGCAGGGGAAAAGAAACTAATTAAAACATTTTTGTTAATAACTTTTAGGAATATACTCCAACCATATAGTGAGGACTTCAGTTCCAAACTCAAAGCAAAAATTTCAGGAAAAAAAAAAAATCAAGGGAATAATTGTAAAAGATGTAACACTACCTGCTGCGTTACGTTGATTATAGCGTTGCTGTCACTGAAGGAAGTTTTCGCTAGCAATTTTTTTGTGTTATGTGAAATGATCATTAATTATCAAGTACAGTATGTACTGTAAGAAACACACAAAGAGATTTCAAGAGCAAAGTGGTTTGATTACTAAAGAGAAAAACAGTAGCTCTTCCCCAATTTACTGAATAGGTAGACAATTTTATAACAATCATATCTGAACTGGCTTCAAATTTCTACTAGCATTCTTTGTAACAACTCTGTAACAATTTTCTACCCTGATCCCAGTAGTTTTAACAATAGATTTTTGGCAAATATTTTATCGTCTGGACGTCCAAGAACTCCAATTATCTCAGTAAATGACGTTTAGTGATCAAGATTACCCCTCAATCTTTACTGCCACCTGTCCATACTCTTGGGCACGTGCGCGCGCCTACACATATGCACGCTCTCAGCATCACCCAAAAATAATAGAAATGGAGGTTCTAAACCCAGACCCACACCCATGCCCCCATGCAAAAAATGGCAAACAAGGAAAAGAGTTTCTGGTTGGGTCAGAATAAGTCATTTGCAGGGTTGGAGTTGAAGCCTTTTCCGTCCTACAGCCTTCCCTGGGCACTAGTCAGAAGTCTCCTAAGGAAGAAACGGCTAGGGACTTTTCACCCTGCTTCCTTCTGGTCTCTTCCTACCTCTCATTCCTTCCCACCTCAGTTTCCCTAGCACTACCAGTGGACACACACCCTAAGAGAGTAAAACTCCGTTCCTTCTCCCAGTCTTAAAAACTTGTTTGGAAGGTACCGAAGTGTCTGCGCAAATTTTGCGCGCAGTTCCCACGCGCCCGCTTCTAGTATCCAACTTTCCCTACTCTCTTTCTCCCGGCTTCTCAACTTTTCCCTCTGCTTCGAACAGGGTATGAGGCAGAACTGTTAAGGCGGGGGGGATGAATCTTCCACCCCGAGAAACTGACAAGTTACCCCACTCCCGCCCCCTCTCGGTAGATCCTCCCCCCAGTGATCGTTCATTAGCATAAAACCGGTCCAGCCAGACACCGGGTCCCCCAGCCTCCAGGGTTCGCGCGCTTTGCCCGGCTGTGGTAGCCACGGCAAAGGACATACAGGTCTGCAGAACATCCCAGTGCAAAGCTTGCACCTGTTCATTGCGTGAGCTACTAACCTTAAAAAAAAAAAAAAAAAAAAAAAAAGGGAGAAGAAGAAGAAGGAGGAAAAAAAAAAAGAAAAAGAAAAAGAAAACCAGTTTGGAGAGCGAGAGAGTGTGCGCTATAGTCTTCTTTCCTCATCTCTCCAGTTCAGCTTCCAAGAGTCTCAGGCACCCGGTCACCTCCCCCTACAGAAGGAAACCTGCGGGTTCCCTGCATCTGCCCCGGGGCTAACGTACCCCTTTATCTTCTTTGCACACGCTCGCAGGCGGACACACGCGCACGTGCGCGCACACACAGACCCCTCCCCTCAGCGGGCTTCCCCTCAGGGCTTTGGGGCTGAGCTTGTTGTGGGTCCCTCGGGATTGCCCCGGGCCTCTCGGCCTCGGAGGTCTTTCCCCTCCCGACCCCGAAGGGGCCCACTCCCGCGGCTTCCTTGCCGGCCCCTCACCCGGGGCGCGAACTCCAGCTCCCGAACCCTGCGGTCAGGGTCACGACCTCTCCCCGCCCCCGGGACGCAGCTCGGCGCCGCCGACCAACCCCACCGGTGCCCCTGGGCTCGCGGTGGAACCCGGGCTTGAAGGAGCACACACTCGGGCAGCCGCGGCTGAGAGGGGTCTCCAGACGCTGGCGCGGCCCAGGAAGGGGGCCGTGGCTCCTGGAAACGCACCGTCCTCCTCCTTCCCACCCCCTCCGCCCCGAGGCTTGGGGTTCCCGCGTCCCACAGCGGCCAAGCCCCTGAGCCCAGGCGAGCAAGGTGCGGACCGGGCGGAAGAGCGAGATCTGGGCAGGGTGAGGTGCCAGCTTCTCAGTAGGTCGGGAGCAGCTGGCGAGCCTCGAGGAAAGGGAGGAGAGGGCAGTGCTCTCCAGGGCGCGCGGCTCGCGGGCGCGCGGAGCAAGCGGCGCCAGGAAGGGAGCGAGGGAAGGGTGAGGAGGCGGGAGGGAAGGAACCGCGGGCGACGGGGCTGCCCCCGCTCTTTACCTTGCGTTGGTGCAGTCATTGTAGAGGGTCTCGAAGTCCTTCCTGGAGATGAGTTTGCAGCGGTTCACTCCGGGCTGGATGGCGCCCAGTCCCCTCAGGATGCGAACCTGTTCCACATTGCACACCACCGGCGTGATCTCCAGCCGCTTCAGCTTGGTGTAGACCGTGTGCAAGCCCCCCACCAAGTGCTTCAGGAACAGGTCGAAAGCCTGGGGCAGGCAGATCAGCTCGCAGCCCTCCACCGTGAAGGAAGCCACTTTGGCCCCCCTCAGATCCACCATTTTGCACTCATTATTCTGAGGGGTGTTTTCCACTGGGGACGGGGTCGAGTACACGGGTTTCCCGGGGAGGGGGCCGCAGCTGCTGCTGCTACTGCTGCTGCTGCTGCTGCTGCTGCTACTGCTGCTGCTGCTACTGCTGCTGCTGCTGCTGCTGCCGGTGCTCGCGTTGATGGGGGTGCTGGAGGCGCCGCCGCCGCCGGCGCTAATGCCGCCGCCGCCGCCGCCGCTGCCGCCGCCGCCGCCGCCGCTGCTCGCGGTCGCCAGGCTGGGGTTGCAGTTGCTGCCGCCGCCGCCGCCGCCGCCGCCGCCTCCGTTGCCCGCGCCGCCGCCGCCGCCGGTGGAGGTGACTGTGGCCGCCGCCGCCGCCGCCGCCGCCGCCGCCGAAGCGATGGGCTCCGGCCGGAACAGAGTTGGCCCTGAGGACGCCGGGGGCCCGATGGACGGAGCCGGAGACGAGGTCGCCGAGGAGGTGGAGGTGGTGGTGCCGGAGGAGGAAGCAGACGTGGAGATCGGGGGTTGAGGGGGGACCAGCTGGGTCGGAGGGATCAAAGCCGCCGGCACTGCCATGGTCACATATAAGGGGAAACAGAAGAAGGAGAAGCGAGGGGGAAAGTTGCCACACACCCCGGGGAGGGGAAGGGGGAAAAGGGGGGAGAAGGAGCTAGGGGGCAACGAGAACAACAACTCTAGGGGAGAACGAGAAGGAGAAAGGGAGAGAAAGGGGGGAAAAAGGAGGTGAGGGTAAGAAAGAGCGAGTGCAGGAGGGGCGAGCGCGAGAGGCGCTCTGGAGAGAAACGCACAAAAGTGTCCCGCAAGTCGAAATGCGAGTCCTCTCCGGGGGCTGGGATCGGGGGCTGGTTTGGGGGGGGGGCGGGGGCGGGGAGGGTCGGCTGTTGTTGTGTGGGTCCCGCTCTAGCACAAAGTTAAGGATGAAGGTGAAAAGGAGGAGGTTTGAAGGACTTGGGTTCTCCCTGGCAAGTACATTGATCAAAGATTGAGAGGGGAATGACAGAGAGAAAATGAGCTGAAAAGTGCAGGCTGCCGGCTGGACGAGTTGTTGTTGTCACACGGTGCAGAGGGGAGGAGCTCCGGAAACTTGAAATACCCTTTGAAGCCGCAAAAACCTCACTCACTAGTATTAACCCAAATTATCCAACCAGGAACTCGGAGCAGACACTCCGAGAGCGCGAGACACAGACGGAAAGCGAGTGAGGGAGAAAAGGAGGAGGGGAGGGGGAGGATAAGGAAGAAACTATGCGAGGGACTGAGAGGAAAAGCCGGGGACACAGAAGTGGCGATCGGAAAAGGAGAGGGAGATGATCTACTTCTCTTCTTCTACTACCGTTAGATTGCATGTCTAATATTCCATTTCGTCCGCGACGACTCGTAATTTTTTCCAAAACCTTCTAAGCAATCGCCTGCCAACTTAAAGAGGAGTCAGAGCGCTCTGAGCTCTCCTTCAAGGATTTAGGATACATCTCCGCTCATTTTGCAATAAGATATAAATGAAAACACATCCCCTCACTTGATGATTATTAAGAAATTATTTTCAGGAAGATTCACATGTAAGCAAAGCCTACGTTTTCTGCATCTGATTGTTTTACTCTATTTATTAGATTATTTGTTAGCGATTTGTTAGCTTAAAGATAGTGAAAATTCCAGGACAGCTTTCAAATTGTGGGGGGAAAGTCAGTCTGAAGTCACTTAAGAATAATGGAATCCTCTGTATTCAGTTTCTTATTTCCTGATGGATTGTGGAAAGAAATGCTTGCCACGATGTGGATCCTTCAGAATAACTTCACTTTCACCTCAAAGGCAGGTCAGAAATGCTTATTTTACCTAGAGACTTTAAGGAGATCGGACATCCTGGAATATTTAGAAAGTGGAAAACAAGAAAACACTGAATTTTGTCTTACTTAAAACTCTGTAATTAATTCACCTGTCTTGCACAGAAAACAACTATCCTCACATCTTTTAAGACCCAATGCTAATTGCCAGTGTGTTAGTTGAGTAACACATTTTTTTTCATATTTGAGAAGTTCCAGTGTATTTGGGGAAAGTCCTTTTCAGTTTGTCAGTACAAATGTGTTTTGTAAATAATGAAAAGAACAAAACAAGCTCACTAGTTGACTTGTAAAGGCAGAAAGGGTGCTAAAATACTAGGCTGAGTTTAGACTGACTCTCTTCCTCTTTGCCTTCTTTCCTTCTCTTTCTTCCCTTTCTAACTTGTTGCATGGAGCTATTTTTTTTCAAGGATTCTTGACCAACATATGATTTGAGTATAGGTCAAGTTTGTTCTCTGTTTGTATCTCTAGGAATCTTAAATAATTAGGCTTTAATCCTGTCTGCACATGTTTATTAACGTCACAATATAGAAACAATGCTTTAGCATTGGGCATATTTAAAAAGTAAACTATTAGCACCAGGTTCACCGTGTTGGGAAATTTCACAATGAAATTCTGCCATTTTGGTGCTGAAATGATTATCACATTTCTCTTAGTCATTTTAATTCTCTAAACTTTTTGAAGTTTAGTGTCAGAAGTTACTGGAAATATCTATAGAGAAATATGGCACCACTGACTAATTTGTCTAAGTTGATGCTAAACTTTTTGGGGCCCAGCAGTTACATCAGGAGGCTTTTCAGAGTAATAAGGATTCAGAAAATTGATTGTTGCCAAAAAGTAGATAAACTTCTACAAAGATAGCTGAAGTTTACGCAGTTGTTTGGCCTGGTTAGCCAGTGTATTTTAATACACTCAGAAATAATTTATATTACTTTTTCACTCCTCCTATCAGCCCTCCAAAATAGGGATTCGATATATATCACATATATCAAAACACCACGTTAAGTGTTTACACATGTTTTGGAAAATATTCCTTTTTTAAAAATGCCAAATTACTATGCTAATGAGAGGAGGAGGAGAAGATATTGAGCTCCGAAATACTAATTTTATCTTGGAATTGCATGCACAACTTTAATAAACTCTGAAATAGTTTGAAATGCTAAACTATAGTTTCCTCATTTTAAATTCCAGATCCAGAAATTGGAAAAAAAATTGGAATTAAGTGCTGAAAATCTGCCCTTCCCATTCTCGTTTCTCACATTTCCTTAAACCGCCACTCACCCAATACCTGCCATATTCGGAAGCCACAGGCAGGAAGTAATAATAGCTGACCAAGGCATAATCCCACCCAGCTTCGAAGCAAAGTCCAAATTTTCTATAGGGAATCCTACGCCTCCCAGCACAGGCTCCATTCCTGGGTAGGGCTTGGGGCATTTACCTCCACCTGAATGGGAGCTCACTCCCTCCACCTCAGGTCTCTCATCCCTTTCTGGGAACTACCACTTGCCCCTTTGATCAAACAATAGGATTAGAAAAAGCTTATAATGCAAATTAAAATGAGTAAGGAAAAAGACCTCAAATATTCTAAGATTTAAGATTCTTTCTCTCCTTTTTTCTTTTTCTTTCCTTTCCCTTTTTTTTTTCTTTTTTGAGAAATGTTACCAATTATTAAGGCAAACAGTATTTAACAACAGCAGATAAATCAACTCCACAGAGATTTCAAATTCTCACTCTTTCTACTGCATCTTTAGGTTTCAAAGCTTTTGTCTTGTTTGTTTATTGTTTTACATCTCTGGCTGTTTTAGGTCCTTCTCCATCTCATCTTTTCCAACCTGCACTCAATTTGCATAAGCAAAACTCAAAGTACTGTAACTGATATTAGAAAATTCTCCCTGTGTTTTGTGAAGACGTATTGTGCTGAAATCAATAAGACTGTTTAAAATTCAAAGACCTGCAAATCGTTCTGTTTGTCCTTTGATAGGGCCTGTGCTGATTAAAATGCTACCAAGAAAGCTTAATTGCTGCACTAATTAAGAAGTCTTTAATTTCTTTCCTAGGATGTCGTTTGAAGCTGAGCTTGTACCAGTTCAGGGAAGGTATTTTCTTCCCTCCCTCTGCCCCCTCTTGGCCCCTCCCCTCTCCTCCCCGCTCCTCCCTTGCCCCCGACGACATCCCAATGAATGGGAACTAATAGACAGAGTGGTCTCAGGTCTCACCATCTATTACTTAACAAAAATCGACACAAGATACAGAGTTCAGTGCAGTATGAAATGCAGTTTTCAGAAGAGCTGTGAGGTTGTAGGAGACAGTAGGGAAATGCAGAGTAGCTGTTGCAGCTCAAGTCCCGGTGAATACCTGGATGACAACAGGCACTTTAGCTCGATGATGAGGGCATCCTATTTGGTTAAAAGGGGGCAGTGACAAGGAAATGCTTCTACTGAAACAGGGAAACATAAAAATGTATTTTCCAATCCTCTGGTTTAAAAAAGAAGAATAAATCTGTAGGAAGGAGGATTTATAGTTGGGATTTGGTAAGTATCATTTTATTTTATGAGTATAAAATCATGAATTCTATGGGGATTTATTTTTGACCCTTTTTATAACCCAGGGTGGCATAGCACTGTATTACATCCTTTCCATCCTTTTCTATTGACCTATTTTATTCACTGATTTCTCAAGTGGGGAAACTGACTAAATGATTTCACAAAGCTTTCTCTGTAATCAATAGTCATTTTTTAGGTTTATTCATGCTGCATTATAATTCTGGTAAATGACTGCAAAGCAGAAGATTGTAAGAAAGATACCAATATTGACAAAGCCAAGATAAGTCATGTCTTTAAATCTTCAGAGTTTCACGATAGCAATTGATATAGTTATTTGAAAGAAAAAGATTGAAAATGCATATTTCATGGCATATAAAAAGAAAACAAATGATTGGGTAACTTAAAGACAACACATATCTGCATATGTTTCTTGTATATCTCAAGATTTCCTGAAAGCTTTGAGTATCCTCTTTTTATAGCATCACTAAGTGAAACAGAAACAATTTGGGCATATGCACAAAGGCAACAAGAGAAGGTTCGTTACAATTTTATTCTTTTAAGTTTTTCCCAAGTTCTGTTAGAAGCATGCACAGAAAAAATACAGATATATTCTCCAGATATATACTGAATTCCTCTCGGTGACAGGACAAGGAGATAACACGCTTAATAGATTCAAAGGGAGATTTACCATTCTGAGCACGACGTCACTCTAATTATGTTTACTCTAATTGAAAGCAAGGTTTTTTGGAATCTGAAATTACTTTCAGAATTTTTTTTTAAATAATGCAAGTGGATCAAATGTTGATCACAAGCATTTCAATCTTTCAAAATGTATTGGAAAATTAAATGAAAAGTGGAGTTTGGTACAAACAATGCCCCAGGGCAAAAAACAACTAACACTAGATTTTCCAGTCCAGCCATAACACAAATCAATTTGAGCACACTTCTATGGCCAGGCTGCCAGATTGTTATGACTGCTAATTCACTCAATCAAAGAGTGCATTAGCGCACCCTGCACAAATAGCTTTAACAATAGAGTGCACTTCTGAACAATTCTAAGATATATCACAACGGAGAAGTAAAGAGGAAGATCATTTTTACATCTGCATATTTACTAATGGACCTGTTTCCTTAATAGGAAAAAGGAAAAAAAAAAAAAAGACTGAGATTAACTTCAGGCAGAGGTTTATTAAGAGCTATCCAAGTTTGGCAAATCTAGAAAGATATCAGGGTACCAGTAGTTCACTGACTTTGTTAAACGTTTCTCAGGAGAGAGTCCAAAATTGATGTTTGCACTTCAGTAGTAAATCATTGAAGATGGAGAAATTATGCCAAGTAACTCTCTCAAGCCTTTTTAACTTAGACACTCGGCCTCTCCAATCAGCTCAGCAGATAAACTTTTGACTGCTTTAAGCTCAGACTTCTCTACTTTTACACTTTCTGCCTCTGCCTGCCCCACGTAGGGTTCCAACTTCTGACTTTTAGTGACTCTCACTTCCACAGTCTTCCCCTCTTTTCCAATTCCCTGCCTCTTCTCAAGAACAAGAACAAGGCTTTTATCTCACGGATACACTCTCTAATCAGGCTCAGAGAGCTCCGTGATAAATTACCCAAAGGACAGAAGGTGGGGAACTGAAGGTGAACACACTATAACTTGAAGCACTGAAACTTTACATTACAAACTTCCGTCCTTAATAAAGAAGTGCTTTAAATGGTTATAAATAACTCTGACCTGTTTAACAGCATGGAAATGCATGGACCGTATATATATGCTTACAGAACGCACATAGTGATTATCTCTTCGTATTCCTGTTTGCATAGATCTCAGAGCCAAATGGCAAGGTTTGCACCACTGTTCCTCTCTCCCTAAACTTCTGTCCTCACCTCCTTTTCTCCTGGTTCAGAATGAAGGTGACATGGAGCCAAAAATACTCTGTTGGTTGTGGAGCATATTTTAAGAAATCTTGAAACCCATGCCAGGGGAGAGAGATGGTAATGGCAAAGAGAAATATCATTACAAAGGAAAACAAAAATCATTCTGGAATTGTTTTCCTGACTCCAAACTACATCATTTCCATAACAGGCAGTCAACTCTCCCTGATAATTTAGTTATACTTGTCCATCACTCTTTATTTCCAGTGTAAGTGTCCTAATTCCATCTGTGGGTTGGTATTGAGTTGCACAGCCAAATATTTGATAAAAAAACAAACACAGTGAGATCATTTTAGAGTTGGATTGTAAAAAGAAGCAGCAACAAGAATAATATAAATTGAGATTAATTCCCTTCATCTCTTCAGTCAGACCATTGTGAGGGGAAAAGCAGGCTCGATTGAAGTAAGGTCAACAAGTCAGGCAGACATTTAAAGCCCCAGCTTTCTAGTAAATATTTTACCTTCAATTGTACCTTTTAATATGAGGCAGTTTCTACATGTCATGCATCTTTCTTTTTAAATACCCCTAACTCATTTTCCTCTAAAGATCAGTATTAAGACCTATAAATGGTTTAAGGGGTGTATAGCTGGGAATGGGGGTGGGAAGAAGTCTTACATCATATAAATGTGTGTTTGATATTAGAACGTGAATTATTGCATAATTTTGTAATGTTAGGAGAAATGTATTAAACTCAATTTTAAAAGTTTATGTTGATTGACTGCTTTCTTGTTGTAATTCATTATCTTAGTCTTTTTTCCTCTTCACTTTATTAAGTAAAAGAAGACGTCACTGTCTAACAAATAGCTTATAAAAATTGTTCTATTTGAAGTCAGAAATTTCAAGGATTGTTAGAAAAGAATAAACTGTTTATTTATTTATTGCCCTTCAGAACAAAGAGTTTTTTTGTTGGTTTTTTTTTTTTTAAGTTGAAAGAATAACAATTGCCACCTTCTAGCCGGAGATCTTGCATGTCAAGTTTCAGCCCAGAGCAAATTTTTACAACAAGTTATAAACCCCCTGTAACAGAGGGTTTATTATAATGGAAGTGCTGACACAACCTTAACTATAGCGTTGTAAACGGCTATGCTATAATATCCATTAAGCAGAAAGAAAAATAAGCTGGCTGATCAATAATTTATACAAAGAGTACCAACTGCAGACATAATAACTGTAATGTTTGCAAAGCAATCTCTCTGCTCTCCAGGCTTAACAGTAAACGCAAACTAGCAACGCTGTTAATTTCCAACTCCTACAGATAAGAATACAAACAAATTACTTAAAATTATATTTTGCTCAACATTTAGCATGCCTCGATGGGATAAAATAAAATTTAATTATGATGCAACTTGTGCTGGATGCAAAGCTGTTTTGTTTTCCAGCACATTTTATTATGAAAGGACATTCATTTGGAACATCAATTATGGGGAAATAGTATGTTTCAATGAGTTGACTTGGGTCAGGCAGGCTCTTCTAAGAGTTATTCAGACATGGAAACAGATTGACACTATTTAACTTCAAAGAAAGTTACAGGGCTTTACAGAGCCACAACCTGAAATACAATACTGCAAGCTCTGATCCGAGTCAACTGTCAGTAAAAACACACCTTGTCATTAGAGTTCATGGGAAAAAAGACGCTGGCTTGGAAAATGTGGCCATCATTAGCATCCAGTGACTCTTGGAGTGCTCAATTAACGGTAAGCCTCATTTGCATGGAAGCAAGATGTGTTATTTCTACCTAATAAATGTGCACCATAAAGTGTGAGCATTATTTTCTTTCCTGGAAAAATTTTTGAAAGTAGCTTTTCGTATATGTCCATATTTATTACTGCCTAGCTTTTTATAATGTCCACATCTCTGGAGTGTGTCATTTTGATATTTTTGTTCTTGTAGATGGCTTTTAAAGCAGGAAAAGACTTGAGAGGTGTAAAAGAAGGAAATACAAGATCTGAAGGATCCCCAAACGCCCAGTATGTACATACTCAAGGTTGAACCAGACGGCACATTTCGAAGGTTCACATCTCCATCAGTCTTTTTTGTCTGTTCATTTCCTGGGGGGGGGGGGTGTGGAACCCAGTAGAACGAAGAGACATTGCTATCAGAGTTGTAAAATGGTGTATTACCCTGTGAGCAATTGCACTTGGAAAGGAACCAGTAATTTATATGAGAAGTGTTTAAGATTGCCTGCTCACCCAGTGATCCATGCCAGGTCAGTTCCAGTAATGCCAGAAAACAAAAGGAGGTGCACATCACCGGGAAAGAGACACCTCATATGCCTTAAGAGCTTGTGAAGGGGAGCACTAAAATGCCATTTTCTCAAATGAACTGGTCATTACCATTTAAAATCCTGAGGGGCTGTGGGACTGAGGAGGAGAGAAGGGATTTTTCTTTTGATTTAACAGGGCTCTGAAGTACTAGTTTTAAGGGGGAGGCGTTTTGTTGTGATTGTTTCAGCCCTGAGCTTTAGCAAAGGTTAAATCCTGAAACAAAGGTGCATTTTTTAACAATGGAATGGAAAAGGATGAACACAATGGCTCTGAGAAAGTAACTGGCCCATTTTAAACTTAGAAATGAACCGTTTTGAGCATTACCGGTACAAATAGTAATAAGACCCCTCTGCTAGGAATGCCTGTGCCTGGCTCTAAGTTGTTGTTATTTTTTTACTTGGATAGATTTTCCCAGATCAATCCCTCACTCCACCAGTTTCGAGGAGAGCATTATGGATGCTGGCAGGATGCTATATAAGAAACTATTTCCTAAGAATTTTTCACAGGCTGCTTTCTTCTTGTTTAACATAATCAAGGCACAGGCTCCGAGGAGTACTCTGGCCTAGGGGGACAGGTTGCACCACTGCCGTCCTCAGGCACATGCTTTCTTCCCATATTGTAAAGTCATTTTGGTTTTGAACCAGAGTTCATTTCATTCACATGGCCAGCATGCCTTCCTTGTGTATTGAGCCAAGGAACTCAAGAAAAAGACCATTTCCTATGTCGGTCAGCATTTAGAACTTAGCAATTGGCTCAAGATTCAGCACATCCAGGAATCTCTGCAGATTTATCCCTGAGTATTGTAACTTCCATGGAGTTCGACGAGTAAGGCAATTATCTATGCTTTCACACTTGTTGATGTATTTCTCTTCCAGTGGTCTCAAGTCATTACTGTCCCTTTTGGATAGCTAGGGTAATGTTTAGCCTATGCTGGATGTTGGGTGATTACAACTGCTTCTCTATTATCCACCCTTTTCCTTTGTCCCCAGATTGTGTCGACTGCTCATTCCTCAAATCATAGGTCATTTGATTCCGAACAGGATATTGAAGACTTGCAAAATTTTAGATATGCTCTGATTTGTTCTAATATACAACTAATTTAGAGACATTCTTGAGGCAAAGATCCAGAGATACTAGATCAAATAGCTAGAAAAGAGAATCCTAACCCTATAACTAAGGCTTGTATCTGGGTCTCATATAGAATAAAATCTTTCCTTAGTCATCGGAGGACCCATTGGGGTCTTCACAAAGAATGGAATGTAAGTGACAGTATATTCTGATGTGTTGCTACAGATGATGAAGGAATGCAGGTTCGCGTGTGAAATTCTGCCTCCCAGACGTGAGCAAACAGAAGCATGTGCAATAGTTTGTGTACTCTTTACTTTAATACTGCTGTCACCTTAATGCACACAATCTCTGTTACATGAAGCACACCTATTTTTGTGTACTGATTTGATGCTGGTTCCTGAGGATGTAAAGAAGACAAAGATATTCTTCCTGATCAGACCTTCATATACATGCTCTCGGTTGAGTCTTATTACCATAAGATCAATGAAATTTTGCGTTAGGGAAGCCTGGAAGATCATCGAATCCCCAAATTGCAGGTCTATTCCTGCCGTTTTCCCATCCAATGACCATGCCAGACATCACAAATAATTCTTAGATCCTTCCCTGGGAGCTCGAGGCAATCTCAGAAACCTCCCCAGCGGAGACTTGCAGGCAGCCTCTCACTACCAAATCCATTAGATTCATCCTTACACATCATCCCTGATCTTGCAAAAGAGGAAACTGACATGTTTTGTTAAAATATGAGAACTTGCCTCTGTACTCACAGCTAAGTTGAGGCTGAAGCCAGGAATTAGATTCAGTTCCTCAGTGTGGTTTATTTTTTTTCCTCAGCTATTCTGGGGGAAAAAGGAAACCTTTTCTGAGGTAAGGAGAGGAAAAATATATATATATATATGTATGTATATATATATATATATATATATATATATGTATATGTATATACATATATATATAAAATCACTTAATATATAAGGGGACTGCAAAAATAATAGACTGGCACAGTTGGATCTGGCCTCATGGTTCTTGGCCAGTTTCTACCACTGTTTAAAGAATTTCTAGCTGCCCCGACAGGGCTACTGATGTGTTCTCTGTTGCTGCTCAAATGTATGCACTTGGGTGTTGGAAGGCAGCGTGATGAGGATGGAGAATCCTGAAAAAGAGTTGAGGAAATACTGTTATTTCAGGGATAAGATTTTGAGATCTAGAGAAATACTTAACTAGCACGTGATGTTAAAAAACTTAGTCAAAGTGCAAAAAACCCTGGGGTTCCTCGACTTTTGTGATGATCTCTGGTTTCCTTTGATTAGAAAAAGCAGCACCTACCAGTAAAAGTCATTTGTTGAAGTGCTTTGCAAAATCAGGCATGAAACCAGCAGTTGATTGTGTAAACACATTACTTATCTGTAGTCTCTTACCAGCCTTAGTTTGCTTTTCCATAGGGGACCATCCAGCCTCTTTCTCCTATCCTTTTTCATCCTGACTTCAAGAAAGGGCACTCTACTTCTTTTCCAAGAGATGATTCAGGGATCACTCACAGCTATTCCCAACAGAGCAATAGCACAGCCCTCCTGCTGCCCCATTTAAATTGTCTGAACTGCGTGGCTTTTTCATTTACTCTCCCTTTAGAGTGAGGCTGCAAAGTAGAGAAGACTTGAATGGCCTTGTATCTTCAAAGAAGCGCCTTGAGCTCTGGAATGCAACAAAGTAGGAGAAACCACTGAACACCAGGAAATGTCAACAATGAGGCGGGAATGCCTGGGCAGGTGGATTGGGGCCTACCCTAGGCATTCTCCAGGACAAGGCAACTGATTCAGCCGAATAAGAAAATGGGTCTTTTTCCCACAGAAACAAATCTGACTGATTTTGAAACACACCGATAACAGCAAGTGCATAAATTCGAACATTACGCTTAGCGGGGAGTACTTTTATATTTTTATGTAAGAGATTTGATTGACACATTGATGATCGTTCTTAGTAAAGAGGAATTAAAATTTCCAATAGTCTGAACATTTGGGTCCTAACAGGAAGCTTTAGACCTTGACTGAATAAAACATTAAAAAAGACATACGATCAAACCACTTTCAATAGCTAAATTGCATTTACAATGATTTGAAGTCTATTTAAAGTAGAACTTGAAGGAAAGCAAAAATGTTCCCAAATGCTGTATGCCAGTAGTAACCATTGGAAACTTAATTACTTCTAAACACCCAATATAAAAGTAAAGAATTCATAATGTATAATTGATAAGTTTCAATGTAACTATAATAAGTTTTAGGTGGACATCCAGTAACTAAACAGATGGGCGTTTTATACGCCAATGTAAAGAGATAAAGTCTTGTCTTCTATGTTGCTTTTTATCTTGATATTCAGGAATAATCATTATCAGTTTCTTAGCCAAAGTGTTCTAATAAATCTGATAGCTTATTGAATGTCCAAAAGAAGTCTCTAAGTCAGGAATTGTCAAAAGTAAATGTGCAAAGTTATGTATATTCGATTTATGTAGGTTAATATTATTACCAACCATAAGACGTAAGACATTCAAAATCAGTGTCAAAATAATGCTGCATCTGAAGTCTTCCAGATGTGTACAGCACTTATGCTGAACATTTTTTAAAAGAATATTTTCTATGAAAATATGCTTCTATTTTTAGTTTGATTATTATTTTAATAATAGAATACTAAAGTATCTTTTATAGTTTAGCTACACAGGAACAGTTTCAAGGAATTGCTTTATACACACAAACACACACACACACACACACACACACTCACACATGTCTATCTTCAGAATTCTAAATAGCAATTATTTTCTTTATATTTATAGTCTATAACCCATGGTATTTTTGGTATCCAAAAAATACTTACTTTTTGTTTCTACTTAAGTAATTTTATTCTGAAAGCTCTCGGTAATCATAACAACACAGCAAAAGTTTGTTTTGTAAACATTATACTTTATTATCAGCCTTTGTTTTCTGATACAATGCTTTAAAAATATCCTCTGTTGTATAAAGGACATTGTTGCAAAAAGGCAGCTCAAAACTTGTCCTTCCCTTCCTTTCATTGATCTGTTGCCTCTTAGGTAATATGAACAGCTGTCTCCAGCTCACCCACAAGCGAGCTGAACATAATAATAAGGTAGTGTTACTGGCCTGCATCTATGAATGATTATGGAGAGAGTGCCAGTTCTTACTAAAGATAAGGTAACAAAGATACCATAGAGAGGAAAACTGGTTAGCAGAAGCAAGTGAGAGCTTCTGACTTTAAGGTTCAGCAATTTCTCTGCTAACCCCTGAGTTTCTCTTTCCGTTGGGTTTCCAATAAGGTGAAGGTGCCCTCTATAGGAGACTCCCAGTAAATGCTGCCTCTTTATATTTGGGTGACAGCATAAGGTTCCCCCCCTTTCCAATTTATGAACAAACAAACAAACAACAAACAAACACACTACTCTCTGTTAGCACAAGTTTGAACTCTTTTATAAATCCTAGAGGGAAATTAGTATCAAGCCCATAATCAGTGACGTAAATCTAGTGCCTTTTCAAATGAGAGAAATTCAACACTGAGAAAGCTGTTACAGCACATTGGTGTTTGATATTTACTGACATTGTGGTATGTAATGGGATGGGTAGTATAAATTTCGACGTGTTGTTGAAGACAGAACGACAGAAGGCCTTGGCATAGTTCAGTGAAAAGTGGGTCTAAACAGAAGAATCTACATGCAAAGAGACACATTCACCACCTAATAAATACACCTCCCCAAAAGGTCTTCTTATCTTCCCTTCTTATAAAGGTTACCATAATGCAGATTCATTATCAGTCCCACTGGGTAGCATATAGCTTGGTAAGAAATTGCTTTTGTTAGCATGCTCATAGAAAGAGATTAGCTATTTCACCAGATCTCTTGGGGCTATTTGAAATTTTGGGAATTCTCTCTGTAATTTAAAATGGAAGTTAAAGCCAATGTGAATAGACGAGGGAAAATCTCACAAATTACACCTCTCCATCTGGAAGTTTCTTCATCACTCATTGCAAAAGAACAAGCTGAAATCACATTTGTTACAGGCAGGAGAGATTTCATCTGTGATGTTACAATTATGTGTATTAGTAATGTTTTAATAACTAAGCATTTTGGTTGCAAAGAAAAATCTAAAATTTAAATGCCCGATAGGGTTTGGTTTTAAACTTTGGTCTTTAGTGACTTTGCGTATTACTTAGACTTTATCACTGAATTCCTCTATTTACATTCTTTGGACTATGACTTTAGCCTCTGTGGAATGTGTGTAGGAGTCTAGTATCACCTGCAGTGCAAGTTAGGGGATGAACAAGTGGGCATGAGAGCGTAAGAGAAAGAAACATCTGCCTCCTTTTACCTATCTATCTACTTCTGTCCTTCGCAATCGGTTCAAACATCTTTTCTCTATGAATCTATGTTCTCGTAGTATGGAGTACGGACCTCAGGGACAACAACATTTATGGAGCAATTACTATATGCCATGCACTGTGTTAAATGCTTTATATAAGTTATCTCATTTAATCTTCCTAACATATGAAAGGCAGGCAATTATTATTATCCCAAAGCCAAAATGAGCAAACCGAGGCTAGAGGGGTTAAATTTCAGTCCACTCCGGGACTGCTTTCTTCTCTACTATAACACACTCCCTTTTGGTCTTCCTTATTTTCCCACCTATTTTCGACATGCTCAACTTATCTGTGTCCCTGTCTTCCTAACACAGCTGCCTCCTGAATTCCTAACCAGGACTAATAAAGCAATCTGCTATCCCTCTGGATGACTGAGCATTGCTAAAGACTGTCCCACAGCTATGCAGATCGGTAGCCTTAATTATTCGTGACTCTGAGTTACAAGCTTTAAATTTAAGCCAGTTTATCCAGAAAGGGTGCTGAAGAAGCTCACATTGCCACATTAATAGGAGGTCACGGCTCCGGGTAGTTTCAGTGGTAACTGCATCCAGAGATTTCAGGCATCTCCTTATATTATTCTGATCTCTGAGGATGCGTTTTTCAGGACGTCCTCCCCCAGTTTCGTGGTCTAGATGCTTTCCCGCAGCTGGATTCACGGTGCCGAGTATCAACCATACTCTGTGCTTCTAGCTCTACCACCGGAGATGGACTGGGATTAGCTTTCTTGATACCTGAGGTCCGGAATCCAAGAACAGGCTCTGCATGGGTCACCTTGCAACATATACATGTTTCTGGGTGAAGAAACCTGTCAAGGGCAGTGTTAGCTAATGTTTAGGAAAATGTGGGATGCAAAATGAGACACCTGGCATTTAAAGCCTGGTTAGTGTGTGACCAGGGACAAGTTGACAACACAGTGCCTTGATTTCCTTATCTGAAAGAAAGGAGAGCCTAACCGTATCTACTTCATTGCATTGTAATGATGATTACGTAATTTAAAATAAAGACCTTGAATAATTCCTGATTCTGAGTATGTTAGTTACCACCCATCATTCAGGCCTTAGGACTGGTTCAGGTTGACACAGATATCCATTCACAAATCAAGCACTGTAGCCAGTAAGGCAAAACAACTTAGCAAGAGAGATACGGGTTTCTGTTTTTGCTGTTGTTTTTGTTGTTTTTTTTGGAGGGGAGCTGAGAAGTTTCTTAGAATGGGGAGACCTTTCCAGACGTACGATTGAGGAATACTTGACAGATAATCACCAAGTGCTTGCTCTACAACCATGAAAAATAATGTGATCTTTTATACCATTAGAGGGCCATTTATCTATCTTATGTGCCCTTGATCAGCTCTATCTCCCAGTCCCCTCAGTGATCATTCTAAAACTCGCTCATATGCTAAACCCAACTCCTGTATTAGATCCATATTCTGTAGTGATAGTCCTGTTGCAACAGGAAATTGAAGACAGTCACGTTTTCACTATTTCTTGCTGGGATTGTTGCCAGAGCTAGCTGACTCTCCTTCCTAGTCTTGCCCTTCCACATCCACACTGGAATGTGAGTTCACTGTCCTTAATATAATCTGTTCACCTAAGTCCGTATACTTAAACTCTTCAATGGCACCGCTTTGCCTTCGGAATGAAGTCCAAGTTAGTACGGAGCATGACCTTGAAGACCTTTTCTATCTCTCTTGTTTTGTATTTCAAAACTCCCAGAAAAAATTTTTATTTTAGGAAATATAAAGTGCTAAGTTTGTAAATTAAATCACATGACACCTGTGATGAAAGAACTTCCATTCATTCTCATTAGATACTGGACAGAATTCTGTTCTTTTACTTCTTAGTATTATTCTTAACTTGTAATTTTACACTAGGTTGTTTCCTCTTTTATTGTGTGACTACCTTTACTGGTACTAAGTTCCTTTAGACTTTTTCTATTTCATTCCTTATTGTATTCTCTGTCCGGCGTAGTGGTTGGAATATAGAAGGTATGCAATATTCACTGAGTGATAAATGACCTACCATGAATAAGAGGAGCAGACCATGTTAGAGCCCATGTCTTAGTTCTTCCTTATGAATGCCTCTTCCAACATTTACTTGCTTAATTTATTTAAGAAGATAGTGTTTAGGGACACCTTGGTGGCTCAGTTGGCCAAGCATCTTCCTTTGGGTCGGGTCATGATCCTGGGGTCTTGGCATGGAGCCCTGAGTATGGCTCCCTGCTCAGCGGGAGCCTGCTTCTCTCTGTGCCGACACCTTGCTTGTGTTCTCTTTCTCTCTCTCTCCAATCAATCAATCAATCTTTTAAAAAGAGAATATAGTGTTTAAATAATTATATTATTAATATATAG